CCGCTCGCATCTCCTGTGGGCGGGACTAAGACACGAGGATAGGATTCGAGGAGGGGAGTCGAGGAGGAGAAATTAGAGTATTGAGAAGCCATCATGGTCTTCTCGTGGTCAGATGAATGTTGGGGTCTAAGGGCCACACTTTGCTATTGGGTCCCTTATGTCCCCGCCCATATCTACCATCCTGTCTATATTGTGCCTGGTTATTAAAGATTTTTAACCAGTCACAAAATGTTGCTTAATTGTTACACTTGAGTGGTGCAAAATAAACAAATGGCCTACGCCCACTGACTGACTGTGAGGCTCTGAGGCAGCTGCCCACTACAGGTCATTCAGCCTGGGTCCACTGGCTGTTACCACAGACTGTGTTCCATTGACGATATATAATCCATGACATCATTTTTTGTTATTTCCATGCGATTGCATGCTATAAAAGAAGCTACTAAAAGGTAATTTACAACCTAAACACTACCTGAGTTGTCCGCTTTTAGTTTTCTCGGCCTGATTTACTTTGATATATATTGCCTTGTGTTAAATTCCCCAATGGTACGCACCAAACTACCGGAAGTCAGTCGCTGTGTTTTGTTGTTGTTTTGTATTACTGATATGCATGTTAATGTATGTTTTAGTTGGTGTGTTCTCATTTGTAGTAAAGCACTGATATAACGTTAATTAAATTACATTAAGCATCAGCATAACGTTTGGACAACTCAGGACCCACATCATAAGTATTTAACTTTTAAATGGCTTCTTCTTCTAGAAACACATTAGTTCTGTAGCTCTAGTTCTGGGTATTAAACTGTTACAAATAGCATGTATTTCATGTATACCAATCAAACACTACATTTGAAAATGTGTCGTCTTAGTGAAGTCATTTTATCTTGAAAGGTATTACCGGAACAGCACTTGTTTATCGCCTAACATCACGTTATCAACGTTCAGCTTGATTCTTCTACAGCTCGCTGTCAGGTTAGTAAAACACATATTTGTTTACAGTCGTGTGAAGTGGGCTTATGTCAAATTCAAACTGCTTGAATGTCATTTTAATCCGTATTCACTCGAGTAGCTAGCACTAGTTTCACTTATAAGATAACTTAAACGGGGTTATGTTTGGAAGTTCGCTGTTGCAGAGCGGAGTCATGACTTGTGCGCAGTCACGTTACTTTGTCGTTATGAGAGTAGCATGTCTCTGCAGGGCGCTTCTGTTATTCATGAAAATAACAGCAGTAGTTGTGTGGAGTGTGTTCAGAACTGTGTGCGGTCTAGTCACATCAACAGTTGGAGTCAGAATGCGTGTATAAAGATAGAAGCGCAAACTTTTCAGAAAGGATATATTAACACTAACTTAGGACCTGCTGCAATGCTGCGTTTACTGACGTTACGGAACAAGGCCCATTTGTGATCCATGCCACATTACAGTAACATGCATAATGGAGATACTTACATTATGCTACTTTATACTTTTACTTCAATACATCTTGAAGGCAAATTATGTACCTTTTGCCTTTTATCAATCCTAAATATAAATTGATACATTATTATACATTATTATAGGTTAAGCTACCCAGCAGTGTATAAAGTAATTCAAATTAACCCCACCTTTACCAAGTGCAACACCCGAATGCCCCAATAATATATTATATAAGCAAATAACCAATTTGCATGCTTATACTTTTTTACTTTTACTTAAGTAGAATTATGAGCGCAGGACTTTGACTTGTAACATTATTTTTACATTGCAGTATTGCTATTTTTCCTTAAGTAAATCATCTTAACTTCATCCACCTCTGGTAACATGTCAACACAAAAAGTCTCTAAATATTTAGGCTTTCTGTGGGTTCTAGTAGAAACTAGTTGAAGCATTCCGTTTTAAATGAATCATTTTACAGGAAGCTGTTGCTGTAAACCTCTTTATGTCGACATTGTTGACTATGAGTGTGCAACCCTCATGTATTCACTCAACTCATGTGACCTGATATGTCATGGATTGAGGACATTGTCTTTTAAAGCTTAGATCACATTTAATGTATAGATTGTTGTGTTGTATTTCCACATATATACAAAGTTTAGAGAATGCTACTTTGTGTAAATTACTGTAAGTTCATTGGTTTTAAAAGTATCCTACATGTTTACAGTATTTAGCTGTATCACTGCATAAGTTCTGTCATGACACCTCAGTGGATCTATTCATCTGTCAAAGTGTTGGGAACGGACCTTAACTCACAACCAAGACTGCAACTATTTGCTGTTAAGGACCTTAGACAATGTTTCCCAGAGTACTGATATACAATCTTTTCAGCAAACAAGTAAGAACAAGTCAGTTGTAGGAGCTTCTCTGTGGTTTTCCCTCTCGCCTTTACAGACAGACAGGAAACAGTCGTTCTACAGACGCAGAGCTGGCAGTTAGGTATTTGTCCTTCATGATGGATTATTGATCAGCTCTACTGGGCCCTGATTTTGTTTTATTAACGTTTCTTGTCGGATAGTCAAACAATTCCATCAAAGCAAGAAATTTTTTCAAATATTAAAGAGGCCCTATTATGTTTTGGGGGTTTTCCTTTTCCTGTAGTGTGTTCTATAGGTTTTTGTGCATGTTAATGGTCTACAAAGACTAAAATCCCTGTATTCCCTCCAGAGGGAGTTTCTCTCCCACACACTTTTTTGAACATTAAAGCATGGAGACATGTCACAGCAGAGACACAAAATACTTATAGGAACCTGGAAATTAGCAGAATATTTCTTATTCAAGTATCTGTAGATACTTAGTCTTATAATTATTCCTATATTTTATACAACTGCACAGTAAAGTTAGTTATAAACACACAGTAAAATATGCCAAATGTTTGCTTACCATTCCTATGGAAGCTCTTACTATTTCCCTCACCCAAGCAAAGGGCAGATACTCTGCAGCCTGACCCGGCCTTATATCTGCACAGCGTACAGGCTAACTAAGGTGGCTGGCTCACCTGATTTGAGAGGCAACTTCATCTGAATGTCAAAACATCAATTTTACACCAAGGTCCCATGGAGATAACGTCTGGCCAGGGTAGCAGCCATACAAACTGACAACATATACAATATGATAAAGATGACACAAAAATGTTGCCTTCTCAGACTGATGAAGGCTTTCTTTAACGTCTTTGTCAGGGCTGCATTGTCTTATGTGTCCAGGCTGCTGCAGGCTGACATCTTGTCGGGACAGCTGGTAAAATATTCAGATTTGCAAATAAATGTGTTAAGGTTAAAACTTGTAGGACATTCCTTGCCATGTTTAGCTGCTAAAGATTAAATGAGAGATTATATACAGACAGTGCTGTGTGCTATGACATTCTAACATGATGACTTTTAAAAACAAAATGTTATTTCTTAATATCCTTTTGTGACAGCTTTAGATTCATCCTGACTTTGTAAAAAACCAGTACACGAGTTATCAAAATGTGTACAAATTGATGCAGTGATATAACATATTGGTATTGACGATGTTGGTGCTACTCTTATGACCTTACATTTGAAAACTTAATTTTTAATGTATTCACAATCAGTAAACAGTACCAGCTAACTTTTTTATTTGATTTGGTCACTTTTTACCATGATGTACTTATCTGCTATTTCTTTTTTACTTATTGTGTTTTTCTTCATTTTCTTTTTTTACGTATGCCTACTTTGTAATTTATTATTAAATATGTAAGTCTATTCTCTTTACTTTATCAGCACCATACTTTTGCTGTTGTTATAATGTACACTTCCCCATTGCGGGACAGATATTTGGAATTCTGATTCTGTTTCTGAAACCCATCTCAACCTAAGAAACTCTTCTCCTCCACAGCCTTGAAGATGAGTTCCAGAGTGTCAGGTGATCTGGAGAAAGAGGAGGAGGAAGATGAGGAGGATGAAGAAGAAGAAGAAGAGGAAGAAGGAAGTGTCAACCCGACAGAGGTGAAAATGAGTCAGATAGTGATGCCCTGTCACAGCAACCACCGCCAGGAGCTGAGTGTGGGACAGCTGCTCAAATGGATCGACTCCAGCGCCTGCCTCTCTGGTGTGTGTGTGTGTGTGTGTGTGTGTGTGTGTGTGTGTGTGTGTGTGTGTGTGTGTGTGTGTGTGTGTGTGTGTGTGTGAGATCAGGAGAACAAATACCAGTTTACCATAACAGCATCAAGAAGTTTCAACATGGCAGTGAATGCACTAAAAGAAAGAGCCAGAAGAGCTCTAAATGCAATTAAGAGAACATTTTATAATGTCCAAATTCCAATTAAAATCTGGCTCAAAATCTTTGATAGTGTGATCCAGCCCATTGCGCTGTACGTACGGTAGTGAAGTATGGGGTCCACTCAGTCACCAGAGCTATACCCGCTGGGACAAACATCCAACAGAGTCTTTACATGCAGAATTCTGCAGATACATTTGACGTGTTCAGAGAAAAACACCAACAAATGCATGTACAAATGCACCCACTGATCATTAACACTCAAAAGATAGCACTAACATTCTTTAACCACCTTAGATCCAGCCCCCGAGACACCCTCCACTCCAAAGCCCTCCAAAGCCAAGAGCTAACCCCAGGAAAGAGTCCCCTATGTCAGCTGGTGCTGAGGCTAGCTGCCCCCTCTCAGAGCCACTCTGACCAGTCTCTCAACAACACTGCTCTCCAAACACCAATCACAGTCAAACACGTTATAACACAATGTAAAGACAACTATTTACAACATTGGGAAGAAGAAACTAAAAGCCAAATTAGATTAGAATGTTACCTGGCTCTAAACAGAGAGTATGAGCTGGCAGAATATCTCTCTACTGTCAGAGATAGAAAGCAGAGACAGATCCTAACCAAGCACAGGCTCAGTGACCACAAACTGGCAACAGGAAGACACAAAAGATCCTGGCAACCAAAAGAAAACAGAATATGTGGTCACTGTACGACAGGTGAGACTGAGACAAGTTGAACTCTGTAATCCCAGGTTTCAAGAAGGTGAATGACCTCTCAAGACTGAGAGAGAGGTTAATGACCTCTCAAGACTGAGAGAGAGAATGAGAGGAGAGAGGTTAATGACCTCTCAAGACTGAGAGAGAGGAGAGAGAGGAGAGAGGTTAATGACCTCTCAAGACTGAGAGAGAGAGAGAGAGAGAGAGAGAGAGAGAGAGAGAGAGAGAGAGAGAGAGAGAAAAAACACGAGAGAGAGAGAGAGAACGAGAGAACGAGAACGAACGAACTGTGTATGTAATAAAGATCGAAGTGTGGGTTGAATCCATTTTCATAACCACTGTCTTATAACTGATTTAAATGCGAATTTCGTATGACTTGACTTGCTTGACTCTCACCACAGTGACTTGGGACTTGCTTGATACTTGCACATGTAGGACTTACTCCCATCTCTGAGAATACTCCTAGGAGAAGGAGACAAGGCACATCTTGCTGCCCAATATGTATATGCATGCCACAACCTGAGGGACAGTAAATGACACACGCACCCCCCCCCACCCACACACACACACACACCCAAAGAAACACACACACACACACACACACACACACACACACACACACACACTTGTGTTGAAGTGTAATTGTATCACTGTATATATATATATATCAATAATATGT